ATTGACACTAGTTGAATTGGATGGACTGGAGTCTTTATTCATTCTTACCAACTATGTAATGTAACATTATCTTTTATATTTTACCAAAAAAAATTTGAGTGTTATATTGTGTTTGTGTGCACTAAAATTCATTAAAGTGTATTTTGTTCCTGAAATTTTGCATTTAAAAATGTGTGCACAAATGTTGCGCAACATAAGATATTCCAACAACCACCATTTTATTTTCCAGGGTCTCGGATTTAAAAAAAAAATATATATAACGTTTGTGGGTTCTAAGTAATTTTCTAGCAATAAAATTGAAGATTTTAACATATTTAGGTGTGAATATGAAGGCTATCACTGCTGTCATTTTTTTCTCAAGCACAGTCCTAAAAGAAGAATGCAAATTAGATTAGGAGTTCAGACTTCACTCTGAGTTTCTAACCTGCATGTTTGTGTTGGTTTAGTGACTCAAATTATTAAAGTCAGGAATAACCAGGTATCTTGTGTTCTCAGAAGGGGTCAGCAATAGTAACCCTATACTTCTCACAGTACAGGTTTCCTTTAAGGCCCTCTGCCACTAGGTGATTAACTTCATCTTATCCTGCAGCATATTAATTGCCATCTGGCATGGAATTACATTCACATTAAAGGCACACTTCAGCCAAAATAAAGTGAAAGTTAACCACTCAGATACTTGCAAGAAACATGCCTTATATCAGGGGTCAGCAACCAGTAGATCACGATCTACCAATAGATTGCAGCCAGGTGACTGGAAGATCGTGATCTGGGCTTGCTGACCTGCCATCCCAGAGCATCAAACAGAGTGCAATGCATGGGAACTCCTTGTAAAGTTGGAGCTGTAGTAGGGAGCAAGAGCTGCATAAGCCGATGCCTCCTCTGTAGTGCCGGCTCCAGTCCCAACTGTAGTGCCGGTTCCTGTCCCTGATACCAACTGCACTCCGCCTCCAGAGTGGTGACAGCAGTAGAAAAGAAGAGATCTTCAGGTCAGTGTGAAGCAATACACTCTGCACAGTAGTATAGGGCTGCTTTTACACTGATGTGCTGAAGTTTACCCACACCATGAGTGCAGTGCAGTGTATCTGCAGCTTTCCTGCGGGTTTGCTGTGCCTAGCCATAGACTTCTATTATATCCTGCGGGTTTAGTGCACTTTCTGAAAGTGCACCATAACTCCAGGAGTTTTAGTGAACTTTCAGAAAGTGCACTACTCCTGCAGGATATAATAGAAGTCTGCGGCAAAGCACAGCTAACCCAGGAAAGTCACAGATGCACTGCGCTGCACCCGCAGTGCAGGTAAACCATAGAACATCAGTGTGAAAGCAGCCTTACAGGGTTCCCCATAATAAAAAACATGTTGTTACCACCCTTGCCCATACCACACCCCCTTTAACCTCCCTGGCGGTATTCCCGAGTGTAGCTCGGGGTTAATTATCAGTGCCAAAAGCGGTAACCCCGAGCTACACTCGGGATTACCCTGCAGCGTTGCTCTGGGATTCCCTCGATCACTTATCTTGTCCTGCGCTCCTGCGATGTGTGCCCTGCAGCATCCCCGGCCATCTCCTTTGGCCGATGCCGGCATCTGTCTTCCGGGTTCCAGTCCCTGCGAGCGTTGGGACGTACGGGGGCCGGAGCCGGCGGGAAATGTAAAAATTCTAAAAAGTGACATTCACTAATACACTAAAATCACATAGTATAACATTACTGTATCAAACCATTTCACATACATTGTTTCCCTACTGCTTTGTCCTATGCCCTGTCTGCATTTTTACTGTTCTTTCTGCCTGGAAACTGAGAAAAGTCCATGGCAGAAAGCGTCCCTTTATGTCAAAAACGGTTTTAGACCAGCTAGAATACAGCGATAGTAAACCAGAACCACTTGCAGAATTGAGTGATAATGATTCGTGGGGAAATTCATCATCAGACACTGAAAACAATTTTGCGACTAAGCTCAGTGATGTGCGAACTTGACACTCTTTTTCAAATTTCTGTGTTTTTGGTTTGATTATATTATTGAATTAAATTTAATATTATATTAATATTTTTTATGATTATTTATTATAATATAATTTATGATTTCATGTTTCAAATTTTATCATACCTGGGATGTTTACTAGACTCTTGCTCAGACAGATTTCAGTGAGTTATTCCTAGAAATTACAGGCCTACAATAAAAAAACGACATATTTCCATGCAAAAAAATGTACCGCTTTCAGCACAGAAATACTGACATAATCAGACCGCAAGGGAGGTTAACTGCAGTGGCCAGGGGTGCAGCTGCAGCAGGAGTTATACACTCGCTGGCCACTTTTTTAGGTACACCTGTTCAATTGCTTGGTAACACAAATTGCTAATCAGCCAATCACGTAGCAGCAACTCAGTCCATTTAGGCATCTAGACATGGTGAAGATGACTTGCTGAAGTTCAAACTAAGCATCAGAATAGGGAAGAAAGAGGATTTAAGTGACTTTGATGTTTGTATGATAATGTTGTTGGTAAATGGATAAATTAGTATAATGGCTCAACCATTTTTTGTAATATGTAGAAAACTTGATGAGGAAAACAAAACCATATAGTGTTATACACTCTAAAGCAAACCACAATGTACTGATAAGTGATTGTGTTCACATTTATTGTGCCAATGCAGTGCAAAAATTACTCTTCGTCATGTGGTTTCTCCACCAAGTGCCTTATCCCACAAGCCAATACTCAGTCAATGCACACTTTAAAATTGTGCACAGTTTTGGGGCACACCAGCCTACGGCCTCATTCACATGGGCATTCTTAAGCGTACGCCTCTGCGAGGGCCGCATTTGCCCTCACAGGGATGCAAAGGTTTCTCATGCATCCACATTCAATCAATCCTATTCATGTCATTAGAGATGCAGCAGCTACACAAACACAGTCGCTGCTCCAAATTTTGACATCTGTGCAGACGTGTGTTCCTAAACTCCCACTGTCTGCCTTCAGGGACACACAGCCACATGCCATAAATGGGACTGCCTGCATGTAGATGCACAGGACACCTGTACATCCCCATGTGGACAAACACGACGCTCACACAGGCAAATGCCTAAGTACGCTCATATGAATAACGACTAAACTTTAGTTTGAGAAACACTGGATTAGGTTGTGTATTACATTGTTATATGTAACATTAAATAAAGATGGCATTTCAGTCTTCTTTGCGTAAGCTTTCTACCCTAATATTATTGCAGGACACAGTTTTGAAAGCTGGTTAGAGTAATATATTAGCAATAAAACCAGTACAAACAAGTCAAAGAGTTGAATTTAATAGCATTGTTCAAAGTTTGTGATTACCTTACCTACAAGATGCTGCCATACATTCAATTCTGGAATATTTTGTTCTATTATATATTTCAGTATGTGCGTATGAAAATAAAGCACAGCTAAATGGATTATGTTGTTTTCCATGCTGTCTGTTTTTTTCCAATTTGCCCCTAATGAAAGAAGATATTTGAGGGTATCAAGGGTTCCAGATATTGCAGTGAGCAGCAATATGGTAGACTTGTACCTGTAAAACAGGAAAATGCTGAAATGTAAGCCAGCACAGTTGCTTGTAATAATTCTACAAGAAAAAAATGGCATCTTGAGTGCAGGTCTATTTATCAGAGAGAAAGTTGCATGTGACAAATCTAAAAAATGTTTTGTTTTTTTGACTAAAGCTGAAGAGTGCAAAATCTGGTGCACTTCTGCATATAAACCAATCAGCTTCCAGGTTTTATTGCCAAAGCTTAATTGAACAAGCTGAGCTTAGAAGCTTATAGGCTACCATGAACAACTGCACCAGATTCCAAGTGCACCAGTTTTGGTAAATCTCCCCCAATGTGTCAACAACTATGTGGTGTGTCAATAACTATCCAAACTGTTCCGCAGTTAAAACTCAATGTATTTGTTACAGAGAGAAATTATCTGCACTACTCCCCAGTTGCAAAAGAGACTTCCAACACTGCTCATATGCACCAGTAAATAATCTGAACAAAAAGACATTTCTTAAACTGATGTGCAATGCATTGGAAATCAAGCTGCATTTACCCATTGACGCTAGCTTTCAAACTTATAACTGTCAGAATAAAATTGAGCAAAAACCCATTTAATTTTTCCTTTAAAAGGTAAATCACACTGAGTGGTGCTGTTCTATCACATCCTTCACACTGCAGAGTTGTGCAACAAAGCTCCAGAGAACTGAGATGAACAGTTACACTTTACCATGCCTTTACTGCAGCTGTTCATGTGACCAGTGACCTTATGAACAACTGCAGGAGATGCATGTGAGAAGCATTCCTGGAGTTTTTTGTTCATTTTGTCACAGATACGAACAGCTCGATTTTTAATGAGCGAGAAACATGAGTGATTGTAAACCTCAGACATGAAATATGAACAAAAATAATCCCTCTATAGCTGGTACTTGTGTCAATCCAGAGCACTAGAAGTGTCATTTTTCTCTCTACTGCCTGGTTCCTCTGCTATCATCATGAGTCCCTTCTGAAAAGTTTCCTGACACCAAGAGGAAAATGGTGACAGCAGATTGACAGCCTCAGCTCTGTTCCTGTGTGTTTTGTAAACAGCCAAGGCCCCCCCCCCCCTACTCCTGACTTATTTACATTGTTTTATATTCAATTGTTCTCAGAGATACCAAATTTCATCAACAGGTAACCTTTGTATATGTTCTATATATTACCTTAGATTGTACGCCCCTTGAGGGTTAGGGACCGATGTGAATGTACAATATATATGTATGTACAGCGCTGCGTAAAATTGACAGCGCTATATAAGTACCTGAAATAAATAAATAAATATACCTGTAGCTTCTGGTCAAAGTAAAACCTAGGACCTGTGTGCTATTGGGACAATTGTATGACTAGATACGGCATTTCAGGTTTAAAGAAAAAAGCTACTATGCCCAATCATTTTAATGGTATCATTAGACCTAACACAGCATAGTGTTGGTTGCATGTACTCACTCAGCTGCTGTTTCTGCCTCTAGAAGATCAGGGTCTTTCCTGTATAACGCTCTGATACAGGGAATTGTGCCATAGAATGCAGCGACATGTATTGCCATCCAGCCACGCTTGTCACATAACTTGTAATCTGCATTTAAAGCCAGCAAGCAGGATAGAACTTCAAGTGAGCCACACTGAGCTGCCAAGTGTAATGCAGTGGGTCCTATATACGGAGACATGAATATTAACTGGATAATTGGCAGACAAACAGAATAAAGACATTTACAGAAAACCGCTAATGCAATTTAAAGCAGAATTTTGTTTGAAATTACCTCCTTTCTATTTAATTCAATACTACCTTTTATATGCTTATACTGAGTATACTTGTATGTATTGTTGTGCATTATTATGTGTGTATTGCAGTGAAACAAGATAAGAATAAAATAGGACAACCAGCCTTTGCTACAAAATTCACCTTTTGTCCAAAGATGTCCTACTTGTTTCTGTTACTAGATGTCTTCAGCCTGATGACCAACATCATTTTTGAAAATGTATTTTTATTAATTTTAAGGTGCAAAATATCAAATACAAAAACAACCCGCTCCCCTAACAAAAACAAAAAAAAACTCAACTGAAAACGTTACAGCACCAAAGGCTATGATAGCCATTTAAAGCTATAAAATACTGCTGTCGAGAATCAGTTGCTCGCAGGCAGCTAGCGCAGTCACATTTTGTTATGTTACAGCCTTATTCCAAAATGGATTAAATTTATTTTTTTCCTCAGCATTCAACAAACAATACCCAATAATGACAACGTGAAAAAAGTTTATTTAAAATCTTTGCAATTTATTAAAAATAAAAAACGAAAAAAAAAAACACATATACTGCTGGATGATTGTGGGTCTGTGGGTTAGCTTAAGGTAAGGCACCATGTACCTTTTACTTTCCCACTATACCAACGAGGAATAGTACAAGGAGATGGAGCACTTCTTATTGCCATGAGAAAAAGATAACCCACAGACCCACAATCATCCATTATCAACCATCAGGAGTATCCAAGGGAGTCTCTAAAGATATCCATCAAGGATAAACATCATAAAGCTGTGTTAGCCCAGCAGTGGGCTTAATGGAAGGTGAGCACATACAAGTATCTATATTCCAGCAAGAATCCATCTGCAATCTTGTTTGACTAATCAACTTTAATCGAATTTATATAGACTTTTTTTGGACACTATTCATTTTTATTATTTAAATTACTTATATTATGATTTTTTTTTCACATTTTTTTTTGTTTTTTTTCAGATTCTATTATTGATTTATTTTGAAGTTGTAATAAGTTGACTTGAAAGGTTCATTATTTCTGGAAGTATTCATATCTCACATTTAGGGCGCGGCAATAAGCAATCAATTTATTGTACATTACTACAAAACACATTTATATAAGGATGTGAATAGATGCCTGCTGACCTATATATTTAATTATTATCTCATACCTCAGTGGCTCGCAAGTAATTATAATATATATTATTTCTATCACATTATCATTATCGGGTATTTTTTGTAGAATGTTGAGGAAAAGATGAATTTAATCAATTTTGGAATAAGGCTGTAACATAACAAAATGTGGAAAAAGCTAAGCGCTGTGAATACTTTCTGGATGCACTGTATACAATAAAGCAGAACCATCAAAGCACTGAAAGTTGGTTTATGGCACAGTCCTATCTAAAGGACCTCATTAGATAAATGAAAATCTGCACAAACCCATTGAGCAAGCCACTAGTATGACGGCTTAAACTTGAGGGGCCTTCCATGCTAATAGTGTGGGGGCAGCAGCTTGTTTCCATCAGAGAATAATGAGTTTCTGTCACAAGTTAGCCTGCAGTTTCTTGTTTGTGTATTCTTACCTCCTTGCTGCAGTGCTGTTCCTTATCCCTGTCACATGCGTGTTTGTCTGTGCTCACCTATGGGTGTCATCTGCTGTTCTCTGGGTTTTATTTCCTTCCCTTCCCTTCCATCACTTCCTGGCCCGCCTCCTTGCTTGCCTGCCTATATAAGACATGCTCAGTCTAGGCCACTTTGCCTGAGCAACTTCCTAGTTGTCTGAGCTCCTGTGTGTTGCTATCTCCTGTATCCTGTATTGACTACTTGTGTATTGACCCCGGCTTTGTTCTCTGACTGTGCTTGTTTTCTGCCTGTCCTGACCTCGGCTAGTCTATTGGATTTCTGTTTGTTTCCTCCCATTGAGCTCTGCTCCCGCGAGTGGTCTCCTCATCCTCAGCTGGGCGTACCCGTAGGCTGCGACCTGGTCCTAGCTTGCGGCAAGTCCGTCTCCACCATCAGGGGCTCTGATGAAGAAGCAGGCTGGGGCTTAGATTCCATGCCCTGAGAAACCCCAAGTTGATGATCTACAAGGGCTCACTACCACAGGTGCTGACAGTTTGCTCAGGCCATGAGCTCCTTCGCAGACACCGCAGCCTCTCCTGGAAGAACTTCAGTGTTTGGCGCAGAGTCGCTGTCCAGCAGGCCTATCAAGAACAAATTATGCACTGTCTGCAGGAACTCTCCTCCCGGTTTGATCAGCTGCAGGTTGTGTCCACTTCCTCACCCTCTGTTTCGGCTCCTGTCCTGGCTCCTGCTGCTCCGACTCCCACTGCTCTCCCAGTGGAACACAGTCCTTTGAGACTCTAGCTGCCTCCACCGCCTCACTTCTCTGGTGATCCCAAAGCTTGTCGGGGCTTCATCAATCAGTGCTCTATTCACTTTGAACTAGCACCCGACCATTTTCCTACTGACCGTTCCAAAGTGGCATACATGATTTCCCTCCTTGCAGGTGAAGCACTGGCTTGGGCCTCGCCACTGTGGGAGCGTCAAGATCCCACTATTTACATTCTCCTTGCCTTTCAGAAAGCTTTCCGGAAAACCTTCGATGTGCTCGGCAGGACTTCATCTGCTGCGGGAGCCCTTCTTCGGCTTCGTCAAGGTAGCATGAAGGTTGGTCAGTATGCAGTTCAGTTTCGCACCTTAGCTTTGGAACTGGCATGGATTAATGAGGCTCTTTCTGTAACCTTTTAGCAGGGTCTAGCGGACCGTATGAAGGATGAACTAGCTGGAAGAACCATACCCACCACCCTGGATGACTTGATTGCTCTTAGCATCCAAATCAATGTTGGCTTCCAGGAGCGAGATTTGGAAAAGTCTGGTCCACGTCGCCCCCACGTGGGTTCGTTAGCTCCTGTTTTCCAAAAATTCCCTGATCGATCTACCTCTGCAACTGTGCCAACATCCGAAGAACCTATGCAGTTAGGCCGAACACTCCTCACTCCACAAGAGCGATCGTGTCGCCTAAAACTTGGTCTATGCCTTTACTGTTGGGCTGAGGGTCATGTAATTAAGTCTTGTTCGGTCCGTCCAGGAAACGTTCGGGTCTAGGTCACTCTGAGGGAGGTGATCTAGACCATAACCTGAACTCCGCCACCTTCCCTTGATTTGTTATACCTGTCTCCATCCATTGGGCTCTGAACTCGTATCAGGTTTCGGCTTATGTGGACTCTGGGGCAGCCGGAAATTTCATTGAACAATCATTGGCGGCTGAATTGGGCATTCCTCTTGTCCCCTTGATGACACCCCTGTCAGTATCTGCAGTTGATGGCTTTACTTTGGCCTTAGGACCTCTACGCTTTTGAACTAACTGCATAACTATGCATGTGGGTGTTCTTCATTGTGAGGAAATCTCCTTCCTGATCCTCCCTAAGTCCTCAAGATCCATCATTCTTGGACTTCCATGGTTGCAGAAACACTCACCCTATCTTGACTGGAACTCTGGCCAAGCATTGTCATGGGGGTCACAATGTCATCGGACTTGTCTCCCTAAAGTGCTTCCACCTCTTTGTGTACCCGTGGCTGAGGTCACCACCTCTCCAATACTCCCTCTGCATTATCAGGCCTTCCAAGATGTCTTTTGTAAGAAAGCTGCTGACTGTTTGCCCCCTCACCGTCCCTATGATTGTGCTATTGACCTCCAACCTGGGACTTCTCCACCTCGAGATAAAGTTTACCCTCTCTCCATTCCTGAGACTCAAGCCATGTCTGAGTACGTCCAGGAGAATCTGCAGAAAGGATTTATCCATAAGTCCAATTCTCCTGCTGGGGCTGGCTTCTTCTTTGTGGAGAAAAAAGATGGTACACTCCGGCCCTGCATTGATTATAGAGGTCTCAATGCTATCACCGTTAAGAATCGGTACCCTTTACCTCTGATTTCCAAACTCTTTGACAGACTCTGAGATGCTAGCATTTTCACTAAGCTAGAACTCCGTGGAGCATACAATCTGGGTAGGATCCGTGAGGGTGATGAGTGGAAAACAGCTTTCAATACCAGAGACAGGCATTATGAATATCTTGTAATGCCCTTCAGCTTGTGTAATGCCCCTCGGCTTCTGTAATGCCTCAGCCGTCTTTCAGAACTTTGTTAATTACATTTTTTTCTAAACTCCTGTATGTTTGTGTCATTGTCTATCTGGATGACATACTCATTTGTTCTCCAGATTTAAAAACTCATCGTCAGCACATATGTACTGTTCTTCTATGTCTTCGGGACCACCGCCTGTATGCAAAGTTGGAGAAGTGCCTCTTAGAACAAACCCAGGTTCCTTTTCTAGGCTATATAGTAACGGATAAAGGGCTGCTTATGGATCCTGCCAAACTCCAAGCCATCTCCAACTGGCCTCAGCCCTCTGGTTTGAAAGCCACACAGTGCTTCTTGAGATTCACCAACTTCTATCGCCAGTTCATTCCTGATTATTCTTCGCTGGTGGCCCCAATCACTTCTTTGACCCGGAAGGGTTCCAACGGCCTCTTGAGGCAGTCGAGGCATTCCACAAACTAAAATCCACCTTCCTCTCTGCATCTATTCTCATACGTCCGGACATTTTCCAGCCTTTTTTCTTGGAGGTAGATGCTTCATCTTTGGGAGTGGGGGCTGTCCTTCTCCAAATGCATGATGGTAAGCTCCGTCCTTGTGCCTTCTTCTCCAAGAAGTTTTCGGATGCCGAAAAGAATTACACTATCGGTGATCGGGAACTGCTGGCAATAAAGCTGGCACTACAAGAATGGCGAAATCTGCTGGAGGGATCTCCACATCATATCCTTATTTATACTGATCATAAGATCGTCTCCAATATGCCCAGTGTTTGAACCCCAGACAAGCGCGATGGGCTCTCTTCTTTGACAGATTTAACTTCGACATTACCTTCCGGCCCAGTTCCAAAAATGCCTGTGCAGATGCCTTGTCCAGATCATTTAACATTGCTGACTCTGAGTGTCATGTTAAGCCTATCATTTCTGCCAATCGTATCTTGGCCATCACTCATCTTCAGCCTAAATGCATCCCACCCGGAAAGACCTTTGTAGTCCCCGCCCTTTTCTCCAAGCTGCTCAAATGGGCACATGACTCTAAACTCTCTGGACATCCTGGGGTGCAACATACCTGTGCCTTCCTGCAGCGTCATTACTGGTGGCCCTCACTGCAAAAGGATGTTGAAGAATATGTTCAGGCTTGCTCCATTTGTGTGCAGTCGAAGTTCTCCACGTCTGCCCCAGCAGGCCTCCTTTTCCAGATGAACCTTGGAGTTGCATTTCCATGGACTTTATTTCTGAACTACCCCCTTCAGCATGTTCCACTGTTATCTGGGTGGTTGGGGACAGGTTTTCTAAAATGTGCCACCTAACTCCATTTCCAGGACTACCTTCTGCCCTCACGTTGGCTTCCAACTTCATTAAGGAAATCTTCCGTCTTCACGGTATGCCCTCACACATTGTTTCTGATAGAGGTGTTCAATTTACAGCTCGCTTCTGGAGGGCTCTGGCCACATCCTTCAGAATCAAGTTGGACTTCTCCTCAGCCTTTCATTCGCAGTCTAATGGCCAAACTGAAAGGGTCAACCAGAACATGGAACATTATATTCGTGCCTTCCTTTTGGCCCATCAGGATGATTGGGTAGACCTTCTACCCTGGGCAGAGTTTGACCTTAATAACCATGCCAGTGCCAGTACTGGTGAGTCTCCCTTCTTGACTGTGTATGGTCATCATCCTTCTGCGCCATTTCCTGTTCCCATCTCCTCTGCGGTGCCTGCGGCTTCAGACAAACAAGGATTATTCAGTTCCATCTGGGCAGAGGTTTCCAAGAATTTACATCTAGCAGCTTCCAAGTACAAAATAGCTGCAGATCGCCATCGCCGCGTGAGTCCCAAATTTCTCCCTGGTGACAAGGTTTGGCTCTCTACCAAGAATATCCGTCTACGGGTACCCTCTATGAAATTTGCTCCTCGGTTCAATGGTCCCTTTACCATCCTCCGCCAGGTCAATCCTGTTGCTTTTAAACTTTGCCTCCCTTCACATTTCTCTAATGTTTTCCATGTTTCTCTTCTGAGACCGTACATCATCAACAGGTTTTCCCATCCTCATCGTTACCCTTCCCCAATGATGAGTACTTCGGATCAGTATGAAGTCAAGCAAATCTTGGATTCTAAGTTCATCAGAGGGAAGCTCTTGTATCTAATTGACTGGAAGGGATATGGTCCTGAGGAGAGATGCTGGATTCCTTCTACTGATGTTTCTGCACCCCGTCTGGTGGAATTTTTTCATCAGAAATTTCCCCGTAAGCCTGGCCCTAAAAAAGTGGGGATAACTCGTAAGGGGGGGGGGGTGCTGTCACAAGTTAGCCTGCAGTTTCTTGTTTGTGTATTCTTACCTCCTTGCTGCAGTGCTGTTCCTGATTCCTTTCACATGTGTGTTTGTGCTCACCTATGGGCGTCGTCTGCTGTTCTCTGGGTTTTATTTCCTTCTCTCCCATCACTTCCTGGCCCGCCTCCTTGTTTGCCTGCCTATATAAGACATGTTCAGTCTAGGCCACTTTGCCTGAGCAACTTCCTAGTTGTCAGCTCCTGTGTGTTGCTATTTCCTGTATCCTGCATTGATTACTTGTGTACCGACCTCGGTTTCATTCTCTGACTGTGCTTGTTTTCCGCCTGTCCTGACCTCGGCTAGTCTATCGGATTTCTGTTTGTCTCCTCCCAGTGTACTCTGCTATCGTGAGAGGTCTCCTCATCCTCAGCTGAGCGTAACTGGGGGCCGCGACCTGGTCCTAGCTTGCGACAAGTCCATTCCCACCATCAGGGACTCTGGTGAAGAAGCAGGCTGGGGCTTAGACTCTGCACCCTGCTGACGATCTACAAGGGCTCACTACTACAGGTGCTGACAGTTTCCTAGCATAAATAAACAACAGTAGTGTATGGATAGCCGTTGTAGGGGCCAAGGAGTCAACCAAACTGAAAAGGCACATGTCTATAGTAGGATGAATACGTAAAGTGGTAACTGACTTAATACACCACACAACTTCCTGCCATTAATGCTGAATGGCTGGGCACCCCAAAAAATATGAATAAAGGAGGCATTGGGGGAAGCAGAATGCCAACATGCTGAGGACTGTGAGCTAAACACCCAAGCTAGTCTAGCTGGTGTCAAATAAATACGATGTAAAACACATACTGAATCAGCTGATCTCGAGCTGAAACCAATTTAGTAAAAGGAGGCCTCCCATATATCATCCCAGTCATCACTGTCAAGCCTAGGGACATCTGCAAGCCAAGCATTTCTGCACAGTGTATGTAGTATACCAGGATCAGTAAACAATTGCTTATAAATAGTAGATAAGGCCTTCACAAGGGAATCATTATGCAACAAGGCTTCCAGATCACTGATTACCAGTTGAAGGCCAATATTACCAAACTGAGCCTAGAATGCATGCCTGAACTGCAGGAATCTAAAAAATGAGTGTCAGGTAGAAAATAAAAGGAAT